TTAAGTTTTTTATTGTATTTTCTTCTTTTTTTTTGCTTTATTTTTTAGAGTTTTATTAAAGATAACGATGTGCACCTACCATCTGAAACAGTAATAAAAAATGTTGGTTGACATAAAAAAAAATACTCGGAAACAAATGACGTCATAAATGTCACTATAGTGTCAAAATGTAGCAATTAAAAAAATTAAATCGACTTGTTGGAGGATTTTTTTGAAAAATGACTCATAACAAAGACATGAATTTTGTGCGTTACTTTTGGTTCAGTTTGTATTATAATTTTATGCGTTATTATCTCTAAAGAAAGTTGTTAAAAAAGACAAAGTTTTAAGTAGGGCTCAGAATATTCAAAGTAGGGCTTAACCTTATTTGGCCCCACTCTGGCCTGTTCCAATTTGTATGGCAAAAAACGCAGTTTAATCTGCTTAAAGTTTTGAAAACAACAGAAATGACAATTTTTTCGGCTTAATTCTGTGATTTTTTGGCTTGTTTTCAACAAAATTTTGCGAATTAATTGGGTTTCTAACTGAAAAACATGTTAAAACGTTCTAAAAATGTAAAAATAATGTAATTTTAGACTTAATTTCTTGATTATTTAGTTTCTTTTAGCGAAATCTAGCGCAAAACCTGAAATTTTAGTATAAAAATATGCTTAAGAGCATTTTAGACCAAATTGTGTGGTTTCTCGGCTTCCAAAAACCAGTTAAATCGAGTGAAACAAACAAAATAACATCAATATCAATTCTTTTTGTGATTTTTTTCGATGCGTTTAGATAAGATTTTGCAAAATGAATGTGTCTCCAGTCAAAAACGAGCTAAATCGAGTGAAACAAGCTAAAAAGTAACATCAATTTCGATTTAATTTTGTAATTTTTCAGCCTGTTAAAACAAGATTTTTCAATTTTTTTCTGGTTTCACCTCGAAAACGTCCTTAAACACTCAAAAAAAAACAAAAATAACACAATTTTTTGGCTATTTCGTCGAATTTTTGAATTGTTTTTAACAATAATTGCGTTTCTAGCAGAAAAGCGTGCCAAAACGGTTGAAAAATGCATAAATAATGTAATTTTAGATTTAGTTTCGTGAATATTTTGTGTGTTTTAGCGAAATCTAGTGAAATTTATGATATTTATTAAATATTTTTGATAACAATTTAGTAATTTTTGACTCAAATACTCTCGCAAAAAAACAAGTTTTCAGCTTGAAAATCTGCTTAATCTTTTGAAAAATCCAAAAATGACATCATATTCGGTTTAATTCTGTGATTTTTTAGCTTATTTTTAACAAAATTTTGTGAAATAATTGCGATTCTGACCGAAAAACCTGCTAAACGCCCGAGAAATGCCAAAATAATATAATTCTTCAATAAATTTGTGAACTTTTTGGATTGTTTTAGCGAAATCTGGCGAAAAATCTGAGATTTTAGTACAAAAACGCGCTTAGAAGCAATTTCGACCAAATTTTGTGGTTTCTCAGCTTATTTTTGTCTTAATTTTGCTCAAAAACCAGTTAAATCGAGTGCAAGAAACAAAATAACATCAATATCAATCCTTTTTAGGCGTGTTTGGACAAGATTTTGCAAAATAAATGAATTTCTGGTTCAAAAACGAAATAAGTCGGGAAAATAAAACTGAAAAATGATATCAATTTTGATTTCATTTTGTAATTTGTTAGCCAATCTCAACGCAATATTTCGAAATTTTTGTGTTTTATCTCTCAGAAACATGCTTAGACACTCGAAAAAGGCCAAAAAACGCCGTTTTGGGCTATTTTGTTGAATTTGTGGCTTGTTTTTAACAAAATTTTGCAAAATAATTGTTTTTCTAGCGGAAAAGGCCTTCGAAATAAAACATAAATAAATTGTGATTTTTGACCTCTCGTAAAAAAACACTTTATAACTATTTTTTAACCAATTTGGTGTTTTTCGATTATTTTTTCTTCGAGAAAATTTGACGAAATGATCAAGTTCTTAAAGCCTAAGGGTTAGGTCACAATATCATAATGTAATCTTTTTTATAACAATTTAGTGATTTTTGACATGCATTTTGACATGGCAAACTCTTGCGAAAAAACAGAGTTTTCAACTAACAAATCTGCTTGAACCTTCGAAAAATGAAAAAATTATATCATTTTCTGCCTAATTCTGTGTTTTTTGGCTTGTTTTTAACCAATTTTGCAAAATAATTGCGTTTCTAGCTGAAAAACATGCCAAAACTGACAAGAAATGCAAAATTAATGTAATTTCTGTCTTAATATACATATTAATTTCGCTACAGCGAAACCTCGCAAAAAACTTGAGATTGTAGTACAAAATCGTGCTTAAAACATTCTCGGCTTATTTTTGTCTTATTTTGCTCAAAAACCAGTTAAAACGAGTGAAACAAACAAAATAACATCAATATCAATACATCAATTGTTTTTATGACTTTTAAGCGTTTTTGGAAAAAAATTTTGCAAAATAATGAGCCTCTGGTTCAAAAACGAAGTAAGCCGAGCGAAACAAGCTAAAAATAATAACTGCTGCAACGAAATTTTTTGAATTTTCTTTGTTTTTACCTCGAAAAAGTGCTTAAACACTTGAAAAGGGCAAAAATAAGCCGTTTTTGGTCGAATTTGTTGAATTTTTGGATTGTTTTTGACGAAATTTTGCGAAATAATTGTGTTTCTAGCTGAAAAAGTATTCGAAAAAGACAAAATAAATTATCATTTTCGATCCTGTTTAGTACAATTCTGTAAAAAAAAAACAAACAGAACTATTTTTAACTATAATTTGATGGTTTTTCGACTTTTTTGAAAAAAATTGACGAAATAATCGAGTTTGTGGTTGAAAACGTGGACTATGCCCAAAAACAGTTTTTTTCATTTCCAAAAAATCAATAGATATTCGAATTTTTACAAAAGTTATCAACAGACTAACATGAAAATCCCCAGATCTGGTGAAATTTCACCACACCTGGCGGGGTACTTGCCTTTGTAGTACTCCGAGTGGTGTGTGGGGCGGTCGCGTTCGGGCTCCACCGGACTGTACACTCGAGGACTGTTGTTTATCGTCGTGATGTATTTCTGAGGTGGTGGATCGGCTCGACTCGGCTGCGATTTGATTGTGACATTAAAGAAACTTGTTTTAGGTGGCTGTTCTTCGTCGTCTATGACGGAATTCGACGACCTTGATTCGCTCCCGAAATGGTGCTCCAACCATTTTGACGTTTCCACCTTTCGGGTCTCTTCCTCTTGGTCGAAATCCAGCGGTTTGCGGGTCAGAGCGTCTTTGCGGTCCAGGGGGGAAACCCCGTTCTCCAGACCTGCAATGGGCACTACCGCTCTTTTAAACCACATTGTTTAACTTGAGCATGTGGTACATACACAATTTTTTCTATGTCTGTGGTTTTGCAACTACCAGTGTTTTAATAAAAATGTAACTATGAATTTAGAGACGGCAACACAAAACAGCCAACGGTTTTTTGATAAAAGGTAGACTTTAAGTAGTTTTTGCGTAAATCAGATTTTTGCAGGGCTTACCTGATTCCAAAATTTTCTTTTTTTAGTGTTTTCTATTTTTTGTTCTGAGTTTAATCGGATTTTGAAAGTAGAATTTTTTTTTTTGTGATTTGCAATTTTAAATTTGTTCTTTTTGTTTGTTAAATTTACTCGAAGAGTTTTTTTAACATTTTCTAGTTTGATTAATTCAGGATTTTAAAGAGACTTTATTAACTTGTAAATTACAGTCATTCACATTTTTTTGGTTTGCGTTATTTAAGTTTTTTCAATTTTACTCAAATTATTCGGATTTTTTTATTTCCATTATTTAAGAATTAAAAAT